AGCTACAGCCCTCCACAAGTGAGCTGTGTGTGTGTGTGTGTGTGTGTGTGTGTGTGTGTGTGTGTGTACACGTATCTACTTGTGTAGAGGGAAGGGGCAGGTCAAAGGTATCAGCACATTGTGGCCACAGGTCTACAGCCTGTCCTTTCTTCCCTTGCAGCTGGTCAGCTGTGTCAAACACTAAACATGGTTAGATTCTCCCTCTCCCCGAAAGCTAGAGGTAACTGCAAGCGTTGGCTCCCATCAGCAAGACCGTATCTCTTACCTCTGTTGCTGGCCTCATTGGGTCTGTAAGAAAGACTCCACTAAGTGACCTTTTGCCCATCATAGGAGGCCAGGGCCTAGAGGTAGATAAGGACCTTGTCCCTTAATAGCTCCAGACCCTGTTCCATTTCTTAGGAAGCCAGTGCTTGGGCTCTGGTAAACTGAGGCCATCTCTTATTTCACAGCCATCTGAGTCCCTGTTACATGCCAGGGACAGATGGGAACCGCTGCAGGAGACAGATGAGAGGGAGTTCCTGGTGCCACCTTGCCAGCATATTTCCTAGACTAGGAGTTTGGCAAGACTTAAGTCAGAGCCTAGCCCCAACAGAACCTGACTTTGTGACCTGGGACAGTCAGCTTGACACCTCTGGTCCTTGTTTCCACATAAAGGACAGAAACATTGCTAGGAATCACTTAGGAAGTTGCCGTGAGGTGAAGCGTGCTGTAGCTTAATGAAGCTTCTGGGGCTGGCAGACCTGGGCTAGCCATTCTGAGAGTATGGCCTTGGCCCAGCAACCTCACTTAGTTTCTTTTTAAGAGTTCATTATTTTTTAAATTTACTTTATGTTTCTGTGTTTGTATGTGCCCTGCCTGTGTGCATTACCTGCAGAGGTCAGAGAGGATATTGGGTTTGTTGAAACTAGGGTTACAGACAGTTGTGAGTCACTGTGGGTGCTGGCAGCTGAACCTGGGTCCTCTGCAAGAGCGACCAGTACTCTTGACTGCAGAGCATCTCTCCAGCCCCAGCCCCATCTTCCCTCTCTGTAAAATAGAGCTAGCGCAGATGTCGGCCTTGCGGATAAGCCAGAATGGCTCATCCCCCCTGTGCATGAGAAGCTCTTGGCAACTTGTCACCACTGCTTTTCTCAGCAGCTCTCACAGCGGTCACTGCTCCCGACTGTAGACCGAAGCAGGTCTTTGAAATGCCGTGCAGAGCGAGTGCAGGCCTAGGGTCAGCTGCTTCCCAGACCTGTCCCTGCACTTTAGAACAGACTTGCCTCCATCAGGGGACCTGTGTCCATACTGATGTGTGTTGTCTGTCTCATGGAGCTTTTGTTGTTTTCTCTACTCAGCCGAGCTACAGCCAGCCACCCTACAACCAAGGAGGCTACACCCAGGGCTACACAGCCCCACCACCACCACCTCCGCCACCACCTGCCTACAACTATGGGAGCTATGGCCCCTACAATCCTGCTCCCTATACTCCACCGCCACCCCCCACTGCCCAGACCTACCCTCAGCCCAGCTATAACCAGTATCAGCAGGTGAGTGCAAGATGGGCCTTCCGGTGAGGCTTCTGCGAGCATTCTTGGGTGTGCATTCAGACCTGGGTTCCTGCCTATTCCTGAAACATGGGAAGCTACTTGTCTCAAGCTTTTGGTAAACTGGTCTTTAATGGCTGATGAATAAACCACTGTGTAGCCCTGGCCCCCAAGTGCAGCAAACCTACCTAGCTGAGCTAGGGCTCCAATTTGGCCAAGGGGTGCCAAGTTCTGGTCCAAGTTGGTGCTGGTGCTACCACACCTTAAAAGGACAGCCGACAAGCCACAAGACCAGAACTACATTTCCTGCTTTCCCAGTTATGTGACATCAAGTCACCCCTTATCTTTCCAAAGCACTATGATTTCTGTCAAAGGGCCTGTGTGTTGAGGGTGGACCACAGGAGGAGAGAAGGCACAGTCTGCAGTGCAGAGAGATAACACAATATTCTTGTTCTCTCCCCAGTATGCGCAGCAGTGGAGCCAGTACTATCAGAACCAGAGCCAGTGGCCGCCATACTATGGGAACTACGACTATGGAAGCTATTCGGGCAGCACGCAGGGGGGCACGAGCACACAGTAGCGGGTGCTGGAGCCTCCAGAGGCCCGTGCTGGCTGCATCCACTAGACCTGCCTTGGCTCCTTTTCCCCTCTGAGTCCTGTGGTGCTGGGGACAGGGTTATCCCAGGGCTGCCTCTCTCTAGCCCACTTTCTCCAGAGGGCTTCTCCCTTCATACAGGCCAGGCATTTCTCTCTCTGGATTCAAAACAGGCAACAGTGACCTTTTCTTTTATCTTTGTCCCTCCACTTCCTCCTCTCCCTGCCTTTTTAACTAAAGAATCCTCTCCCGTGGTTACCCAGTGACTGGGGAGGACCTTTGCCTGTCTGCCCCTCCCTACTCTGCTTTTTAGCCCCTTGGCTTCCCGGACTCTCATGCAGTTGGTTGTAAATTCTTCCAGGAGCTGTTTTACTGTCTACTTTTCAGGATTTAAAAAAAAAAAAATTTCAAAAACTTAAAAAAAAAAAAAAGTTTAAGAAGCAAAATGCAGAGGGAGGAAGCAGTGACTTTTTTTGGTAATTATGCTTTTTTTTTTTTAATTTTTAGAATTTGTCTGTTTTTACTGTGGGTCAGCCGTTGATACTTCATCAAATAACCATTTCTTTGCTGAGTTCAGGTAACCGAGGAAGAGCCACACCCTCGAAACAAACAACAAAATCACCTTTAACCTAACTTTTTATATGATGTCTCAGTTCCCCGTAACTTTGCACACACACGTCTGTTCAGTTGGATTGTAACTGCTTTTTGTACTTGGAGAGAGTGTGACTATTGAACTTGAAACCTTTTACTCCAGGAGTCTTGGTAGTTTCTGGTGGGCTTAAGCGGGTGAGAGGGTGAAGGGAAGGTGGGGTTGGGGCCAGCTTCCCTTTAGACCCTAAAGTCCCTCTTCCACTACCACCTCCGTTGCTCTTCCGGGTGCCAGACCCCCAAAGTTTTACAGTGGTCCTTTTGATTACTCTCATTTCCCCTTTACCCAAATGTTCTAACCGGACTTTAGCAAACTGCACTTATTAAGAGATGTTTTACCCTGTTTTGTTTTCTTTTCTTTCAATAAATGACATGGCACCTCTTATCAGGAAGGAAGCAGGGTTGAAACCCTGAAGTGTTGCTGCAGTTGGCCTTTAATTGGGGTGGGAGGCCTTCAAAGGGGAAATGCCTCATTCATTTAAACAAAATGGTTCTGTACTTCACATAACCCAGATGCTCCTTGTGCAGGGGACAGACAGGTGAGACCTGTAAGAATGAGACCCTGCTGGTTTCAGGCCCATCTCCGGGTGTATTGCCCAACCACACCCCTAAGGTCTAGCCAGGATGCTGCTCTCAGGGTAGCTCTGTACTGCTTCCCTCACAGGTAGTGGCTGCCTGCTCTGATCCCCCTCATCCTGAGCACTGCAGAGATGACTCTAGCCCCTCTTCTCAAGAGTTCCTCCTACAGGGAATACAAATTTGTAACTAGTTTCAGCACCAAGTGTTTAGAGAGGCCCTGAAGTAACGGGAAGAGGGCTTTCTGGAGAAGAGGGAAATGCAGGGGAGCTGTGGGCTTCATTTCTCCTGTGCAAGCTGTGTTTTCCACACCTGACCCAGTGTGGACAGCTCACCCCAGCTCCCTTGTAGGAACTGGGGAGCCTTTGAAGACCCACAATGTATCAAAAGAAGCTAGGGGTGGTGATGCGAGCCTGTATCCAAAAGGTACGCATACCACCAGGACCTAGGTGCAACATGGCCAGACACCAGGAGGGAGGCCAAGTAGATTCAAGGCTAAGAAGGGGCCATATCAGTACCTAAAAGACACTTGTCAACTTGCTCTAGGAGAAGGCAAGGAGGTGTCCTTATTGTTCCTAGCCTGGGAAGTCCTGCTCTTGCCCTGAGTGTGTTGGGCAGCCGCGCCCTCTACTGGCCATTCCTGGTGAGGCCGCTGAGTTTTCACCAGGCCATTCCTCAAATGTCGGGAACGCTTACCAAGTTCTAACTCTTCAAAGCCTGTTTCTAGATTAACGCACCACCTTCCTCATTGTGATTTCCAGTTCCTTACCTGGTTCCCTACCCCAAACCTTATAGTCTCCACCTCATAGGGCTAGGAAGCCCGGTATGATCGGACACCGACAAGTGGCCTCTGATAGTCTGATTTTATGCTTTCTTGAGACAAGACTTCCCGTGTAACCCTGGCTGGCCATGTTAAAGACCAGACTTGGTCAAACCCTCAGTGATCTCCCTGCCTCTGCCTCCTGAGTGCTGTATACCCTGACCATAGTAAACAGTTACAGCACCCAGAACTACCTTTGCCAGCTAAACTCCCTGAAATACTTCCTAACTCCTGCTCGTACCTTTCAGGTCTCATCTGGGGCCTTTATCCCTACCAGAAAGCCTCGGACCCTGCCTGTGGTGGGCAGGTCCCTCCTCCCTTTTCCACAGCAAACCCCACAGCTTGTCCCTGAAGGTTTCCTTGTTTGGAAACACAAAGGTTCTCTCCCTGACTTCATCTCACGCAGCCCTACAGGCTAAATATGATGATAGAAGGAAGTCAAATCTATAAAAAGCACAAAGTTGGGTGAGATGGTGTGGCGGTTCAAGATGGTTGCTGCCAATCTTGATTGAATTTTATCCACATTCCCATAAGTTGTCCTCTGACCACATAGACATTTTTAAACTAAAAAGGACTCGAGAGTCTATACGATAGCGCCAATACAATCATTCCAAACATTAACCACACGAGGACCTGGAGTTAAACAACACGATCCCTGCTGACTCTCCAGTCTGATAGGTTGAAGATCCATCTGCTCAACCTAGCGCCTTTTTTTGGCCCTGGCTGCTCAGGGCGGGGCTAGGCATGCGCATAAAGAAGGCCCACCTTTGACCCGGAACTTTGGTGCTTACGTGCTGCTTAAAGACGCTTGCGTAGCCGGAAGTACCTGCGAGTACCTAGGGTCCAGCCTGGCTCCCGCAGCCCGCTGCGGCGGTTACCGTGTCGGAGAGACCAGTTATGGAGGCCGTGGCAGCTGCGGCGGTAGCAGAGAGGAAGCCCGATGATGGTGAGGCATCGGCCACGCTGAGGTGACGGGAGGGTGCTGTTGCTGTGACCAGGAAATGGTTCCGGCAAGCGCTGAGGTCTCTAGAGGTCTGACCGCAGCTGACTGGCACTTTGAACACTTGGTCCACTTTGGGGATCTGGTTATTCGGCCTTGTGGCAGGTTGACGTTTCCCTTCGTGGTGGTGGTGTTGTTGTTTTTGTTTGTTTGTTTTTTGTTTTAAATGAACCCCTTTCCGTGTCCTAGGGTAAACATTTTTTTTTTTTTACCGTGCCAACGCCTCAAGTAAATAACAGTTCCCCTGCAAATTCTTCCAGTCTCAGGCCAACCTTTCTCAAGTTACATCTTTCCTGTGCCAATCTGAGTTTCTCTGTATCCCAAGTTGGCTCTCCTTTTGTCCCATGCAAGCTCACTTATATCAAAGCAACAGCTCCCATTGCATTCTGACTCTTCCTGCCTCCAGTGTCTGCAGTCCATTCTGCCTGCTTATATCCTTTCTCCCACGAACCTTCAATGCCTTTTCCTTTTCTACGGACTTCCTACCAGTATTGCCTGGTGGGTTGTTTGGATTTTGGTGGTGTTTTGTTTTGGGGTTTTTTCGGTCAGTCTTTTATTATCATCAAGGTTAGCCTCCAAATTGTCTTCCTCCTGTTTCAGCTCCCAAGGTACTGCGTTTCCAGCCCTGTGCCCCCACACCTGCCTAGAATGTCTCATAGTAGTCTGATGTGTGAGGTGGTTTAGTCGAAGCTGTTGGACAACTCAGAGCCGAGAGTTACTGAAGCTGAATAGCAGGCGTGTGAATGTAGACACAGGTATCTGTGTGTACTACTGTATGTTTCAGTCTTTGAGAATCTCCAGTTGTGGTGGTTTACATCTGTAATCCCAGCACTTTCGAGACTGAGGCAGGAGGTTAACCTTCAGTTTGAAGACATCCTAAACTACATAGTGAGTTCCAGACTACAAAGTGAGACCCTGTGCTGTGAGGCCCTGCATATATATATATATATGTGTGTGTGTGTGTGTGTATCAAATATATATATTTTGAGATATGATAGATATATATATATATATCAACATTTTCCATAACAAAATTGTTTATATCTTTTAAACTTTCTGGTGCTGGGGCTCAAGCCTTACGAATGCCAATTATACTAGCTACCATGAAGCCATCCCTCCAGACATAAAAGAGAATCTGGGGCAAGACGTGGTGAGGTGGGCCTATAATCAAGACCCTGGAAGGGTCTAAGCCAGGGCTTAAGGACATGGCTTATTAGTGGAAGGCCTGCAGAGCATGCCTGAAGCCCTGGGTTCAATCCCCAGCACCACATAAACTGTTTGTGGTGGAACAGGCTCCTAGCACTCCCGAGAACATTTACTAAAGAAAAAAAAGAAAAAACAAACAAAAACAAGTGCCCCTTGGCCCTTCCATGCTTTCCAAACATCTGGCTTCTCCAGAGACTCACACACACACTGCTCATTATTTTCTTACCCATCACCCACTGCAGCCTGGTGTCTACCCTGACCTTGTTCCAATCACGTAGGCTCTCCAATAACATCCACACATGGCTGCTTGATTAGGGTTTTGGTGTTTTGATACATCTTCATCATTCATTCATTCATTTGTTTGTTTGACTGCATGTTTGTTTATTACGTGAGGTGAGGTTTCACCCTGAAGCCCAGGCTGACCTAGAACTCACTATGTAGTCCAGCCTGGTCTAAAACTCAGGAATCATTCTACCTCAGCCTCCTTACCCTGTCCAGCATCTGGACTGTTTTCTTACTCTAGTGCTTCCAGGCGTCAGTGCCGGCCACCCCTTCATCCCGGCACATCTGCCGTATGAGATGAACACCGCGCTCCGCTCGCTTCCCTCCTGTGTCTGAGGCTGCTCCTTCTTAGCCCTCTGCGGTATTTCTTATGGTTGCTGTCACACCAGAAACTGGGTGTTTGGTTTGTTGTTTCCTTTTTGGTTTCTCGAGACAGGGTTTCTCTGTGTAGCCCTGACTGTCCTGGACTTGATTTGTAGACCAGGCAGGACTCGAACTCACAGAGATCCTCCCAAGTGCTAGGATTTGTGAGCTACCGTGTGGGTGCTGGGAATTGAACCTGAACTCTGGAAGAGCAGCGGAGCCATCCCTGCAGCTACAAGATGTCACTTTCCTGGCAAGCCTGGCACCCTGCAGTTTAAAACTGAGCCAGCCCAACATTTGCCTCTTCTGTCTTTTTTGTCTTTTCATTGGATACTTAATTATTATTATTTATTATTATTATCATTATTGTCATTATCATTGGTGTTTTGGATTTTGTTGTTGGTTTGTTTTTTGAGATTTTGCTTTTGAGATTCAGTAGTACTGTGTAGTCCTGGCTGGCCTTGAACTCATAGAGAGCCACTTGCCTCTGCTTCCTCCGTGCTGAAACTAAGGTGTGTACCACTGTACCAGGCTTGTCTGACTGTTTTTCTACATAGCCAGGGAAATACCTAACATGTTACATGTTTGTGTTAATTACTTAGGTTATTGACTGTAGAGCATCACAGTGGGACCGCCTGTTCACCACGATCTATCTAGGGCCTAGCACATTACCCAGAATGCAGTAGGTGCTCAGCAAATGTGAGCTGTATGAGTGTGTCAGTTCCCAGCCTCCTCTTGCCTAAGCCCCCTTGCCCTGATGCCTCTAACTAAAGACTCCTCTTGACTCTCAGACTGTGTGGAACCCAGATGTGTACACTGGGGGGAGCTGAGCCAGACTTCCATTCCATCTGGACCTCAGGAGAAGGAGACGGCAGAGAGCACACCAGACAGCATCCCCAGCGGTGACAGCTCCCAGGCAGAGAGTCCGGCCGTGAGTGCCATGTTGCATGCCATCGCTGCCAGCCACCTGCCTGTGTGCAGCCAGCAGCAGGGTGAGCCTGATCTGACAGAGCCTGAGAAGGTGGCCATCCTGGGCCAGCTGTATCACAAAAAGCCACTGGTGTTCCTGGAGCGCTTCCGCACAGGCCTCCGGGAAGAGCACCTGGCCTGCTTCGGCCATCTGCGTGGAGACCACCGTGCCGATTTCTACTGTGCCGAGGTGGCCCGGCAAGGCACTGCCCGGCCTCGGACCCTGCGCACCCGCCTGCGTAACCGGCGTTACGCTGCCCTTCGTGAGCTCATCCAAGGTGTGGGGGATGGAGGGTGAGAGGGACAGGTGGGGAGGACAGGTGGGCTGAAGCAGAGCGGGAGCCCAGAGAAATCCTTGGAGACAGGCTTTGAGACAGAGAGGCCAGAGACACAGACCCTAGTAAAGTAAGGGAGGGAAGGTCAGCAGACAGGGTCAGAAGTCAGCAGATGACAGAGTGGCATCTGTGAGACACAGCCTCATTATCTAGTGCTCAGGCTGTCCTTGAACCCAAATCCCCCCACCTCAGCCTTTCAAGCACTGGCAGAAGTGGCTTCGTAGATGGTCACTGTCTTCTGATGGATGGCAGCACACACAGCACCGAGGTAATCAGCTGCCCCCTAAGGAACGGTGTTACCGTCTTCACACATTGTGGGAAACCAAGGGCGCATGCGTGTCCCCCAAGGCCGCCCTGAACAAAACACCAAGATGAGCCTGGTGTGGCAGTTTATACCCCAACACCTGGGAGGCAGAGGCAGGAGGATCTCTGTGAGTTTGATGCTAGCCTGGTCTACCTAGTGGCTCAGGCTTGGGTATGTGACCATGTTTAGCCCAGGCTGTATACTCAGTGCCCCACAGACCCTCAGGCACCTGTGGGTGGTTTTATCATGTACCTGAATTGCATACAAATTATATCCATCTTACAAGCAGGGTATGCACACACATGCCGAGATGCATGGCATGTGCTCATACTCATCTACCGTGTCTCTTCTGCACAGGAGGCGAATACTTCAGCGACGAGCAGATGCGGTTCCGGGCCCCACTCCTGTACGAGCAGTACATAGGACAATACCTCACCCAGGAAGAGCTCAATGCCCGCACACCAGCCCCGCAGGCTCCCAGGTCCGGCTCTCCCGGCACGCCTGCCTATCCACTCTCCGACCTGTTGTTTCAGTCCTACCAGGAACGGGAGCTGCAGCAGAAGCTGCTCCGACAGCAAGAGGAGGAGGAGGCCTGCCTTGAGGAGGAAGAGGACAGTGATGAGGAAGGTGAGGGCCAGGCCTGCTCCCCCATGTCGTGTCACCTGGCTGGGCCCCAGGCTGTGAGGACAGGCATGATGTCTGCCCTTGCCCCCTTCCCTGCCATCTCCTCCTGAGCGCTGTGGTACAGTCTCCATAGCACAGCTTCACCAATGTGTCCAGCGTGTGTGCCAGGAGGGAAGGGACTGCTTTGTCTTAGCACACGCGCTGGACGTACGGTGGTAACCTGTCAGACTCCTTCAGGCCACCCATCTAGGTATCTCCACAGACCAGAGGTCGGAGAAAGACTCGGAAGCCTGGGTGCCTGACTCAGAGGAGAGGCTGATCCTTCGAGAGGAGTTCACCAGCCGCATGCACCAGCGATTCCTGGATGGCAAAGATGGGGGCTTTGACTACAGGTGCCTGCCATTCCCAGCCCAACACCCATGGCCCCAAGCAGGTCCCTACCTTTCCCCAAAGGGTCTTCCTTAGCAGTGCTAGAGCACCCGGAAAAAGCTCCCCACTGAGCATCCTGGTATCAGTCACGCTGGAAGTTTCAGATCAGTGAGGGGAGGTGGCTGGGGTCTTGGCCTAACCTTGACCCTCTCGGAGCCTTAGCCAGCACTTAGCACAGTGCTGACGAAGCATTAAATGAAACCCAATGGGGTACACCTCATCCCAGCACTTGGGAGACGGAGGTGATTGGATCTCTGAGTTCATGCCAGGGAGGCATGATGAGACCCTGTCTCAAGGAAAAAGAAAATGCTCGCATCCAGGCCCAGTGACATGGGACCTCTGTGCACAAATAGCTTCAGTGGATCAGGGATCCTGATGGTCACTGACATGCAGTCCGTGCTGGGATCCCACAGATCGGACATCAGTGTGGCTCCTATGAGCCAGCCCCACTGCTACACTAGGTAACCTGAGGACACCAGAAGAGGGGCCGTGCTGTTCCTTCAGGAGGGCGGCAGATACCCAAATGTGTCCCACGATCGATTGGTGCTTCTGTCCGTCTGCTGTGTCCAGACCCTAGGTAGGGTTAAAGCTCTGAAGTGCGTGCAGGGAGCAGAGCAGTGCTCAGAGCCTCCGTGGATGCTTTCTGAGCAGCTCTGCAGAGAGCGAGGGTGAGGACAGGTGCAGGCACCCTGAGGCGCAGAGCAGCTCAGTGCTGAGGTAGAACTGAGAAGGCTCGTCCCAGAGGAGTGGAGCCCTAGTGACTCAGCGTCACATAGTGGAACTGGGGAGAGTGCCACAAGAGAGACAGACCTGAGAAGCCTGCGGGCTGTGGATTGTCACACCTACCAAGCTGGCGTTTTTTAATGTAGGCTGATTGGGAAAACACTTCTTTAGGATTCCAAAAGGTGCAAGCAAGCATACTTAGGAGGTCGGTTCCCCTGACCTAGACGTCCTGTGAGCCTGACAGCTTTCTTCCCCACAGCACGGTGGATGACAACCCTGACTTTGACAACCTGGACATCGTGGCGCGTGACGAGGAGGATCGGTACTTTGATGAGGAAGAGCCTGAGGATGCGTCCAGTGCGGAGCTAGATGGAGACTGACGTCTCCCAGCCTCCCTCCTCCCACGACGGTGCCATGCCTGCTCACCTGACAGACAGCTCATGACAAGCCGGCTTCGTGACTCAGGCCATCAAGTCAGGCCCCTGGGCTTGGCCCACCTCAGACGGTGCCTCCACGTGTGTTTAGGGGTTCCTACTCCTCCCTGGGAGCGTGGCATCGCCGCTCTCTTGCCCTGGCCCCACCTCTCTTTCCTCTTTGAGATGGGACCTTGCTGTGTAGCACTGACTTACCTGTTACTTGCTTTATAGCCAAGGCTGGCCTGAAACTCAGTCCTCCACCTTGGCCTCCCACATGCTGTGTGTGCAGCTGAATCCCTGTGCCCTGCCTGCCCACTGTTCTTACCTGCTTTCTCCCTTGTGCCACTGCTCCACCTCTCGCCTCCTCAGTCTCTAACGTCTGTGCGCCCGCCTTCTGCCCGCCATCTCTGTGTCATGGGTGCTGTGACCCTGGCAGTTGTCTGGTGGCTGCAGCTGTCACACGGATGCCCAGCCCAGCTCTGAGTTCGGGGCCCCCCCCCCGGGCAGGGGGCCGGGGGGGGGACCTCTTGCTTCCCCCAAACTCCCACCTCCCCCTCGTGCCTCGCGTCCTTGTTCATTCCCATGCATCTCCAGGCCTTGATGTCTGCTCCTCTGTCTCAGCCTTTGCAGCTCTGGTTCTCTGGGTCCCCTCCCCCAGGCCTGGCAGCCGAGGGCAGCAGAAGCGTACCCTGTGGGTGGAGGTTACGGGAACCCAGGTGGTGCCAGCCTCTGCTGCTCCTTTTGGACACTTGCAGGGGCAGAGCTGGGTACCCCAGGGCCAGCTTGAGTGTAGGAGGACCGTGAAGAGAGGCTCCCCTCCCAGCCACAACTTTCCTTTTCCTCACTCCTCCACCTCCCTCTCCCTCTCTCTCCTGTTTACACTCCCCAAATACGCACAGGCTGTTATCATGGGTCTTGAGTCATCACACACAGACACACAGCCTGCCCCAGTGTCCCTGCCCCCAGCCAGCCACAGGGCCCGCCCCACAGAGCCCCCTGCTGCCCTGGGCTAATGAAAGCCAGATGGCTGCCTGTGACTCAGCCATGGCCTGTGGGAACCCAGACGTCCTACCTTCCCATGCCCCACACCCGGCCTCTGCATCCCCAGCAGACAGAAGCAACCTGCTCCTGTGGGGACGAAGGCTAGCATGTCTGGGCTTGAGGATCCAAACTGCTCTGGCCATACCTGAAGGACCGACCCTCAAAACTGCTGTAAAGCCAGGGTCCTAACCCTGGGTCCTGACTCTTCCCTCCACATCAAATAAACTCACCCAAGGGGGCAAAGAGTGCCTGCCTAAACTGTTGAAAGACCCTCAGCAGCTCCGCCTGGGCCAGGCCTGAGTGACACCTAACAGCCCTGGAAACAACACTGTCAATTGTCACTTGTCACAAAGGATGGACGTGCCAAGAAGTAGCTGTATGCATCTGAGACCACCGGGCTTCCCAGGCAGAGCCAAGACTGGGACACACCATACACAGCACTTGGCCAGTGGAAATGTGAAGACAGACTTCCTTGCATCTATAGTGGGGGGCTGTAGAAGGTGCAGGCGTTGTACATGATATGGTGGCAGGTGGCTGTTACACCCCTACCCTTACCGCCCCAGAGGACGCAGTGAATCCCCAACTGGAATCCCACCACACTGGGTGGGAGCCAGGAGTGTTCTTTTGAGAAGTTGTGGCTTAAGTATTCTCACAGTTGTCCAGTGTTCTGTCCAATCATTAAACTTATTTAAGATAGAAGCTGCCATCCGACCTCTTATGTAAGTTTGTAAAAGCCGAGCTGCACAGCCATTGAGTCAGGATCTGGGGTTAGTCAAATGGCTCAGACGAGTCTGCAAAGGAGAGACAGAGGAGGGGCCAGCCACAGGACCGGGATTAGATGAGGAGACAGGAAGAAAGGTGGAGACAGAGGAGGGGCAGCAAAAGCACACCCCGCTCAAGCAGCCCCCATGGTGGCTGGCGCCATTGCCTCTGATCTGGGTCCTGGGGATGGGGTGGGCGGAGAGGCTGAGTCAGGGAGGGAGAGCCCCTCTGTGGGCATCCGGCCCCCACCTCCATGTCTCCTGTTTGTCCTGCCCTGGACAGGTCTCTGCTGGCTGCTGCCCTGCACCCATGCCTACCCCCACCTCTCCGGCCACCTGCCCCCACCCCCAGCCTCAGTTCCTTTCTGGGGAGGTCCCTGCCTGCCCCACACTGTCCTCATTTCCTGCCTATCCCATCTGTATCCCCGCCCCTGTGATCCTCATCCACTCTCTTCTCCCTGGCTTCTGCCCTCAATCCCCAAACACCTCTCTCCCTTGTCGTTCACCAGGCTCTGAGAGCTCTTGCCACCGTTGTCAGTAGCCTGTCCCCGCCCCTACCCCAGCACACACCCCCTCCAGCCTACACCCTCATTTTTTCCTGTCCTTCTCCCTGCTGTCTCCTGGTCCATCCCCTTCCCTGTCTGTCTCTCAGACCCTGGGAAATTCAGGTCAGAGCTCTACTGGTGGCCCCTAAGAACCTAAAACAAGGGGCCACCACCTTGTCCCCACCCACGAGAGGAGCAAGGCTGCCGACCTGTATGAGCAGAAGGAAATGTCTGTGCTGTGGCCTGGTCATCCTCCACCCCACCCCCCAGGACCTGCTGGGCTGCTGCCGCCCCCAGGGCTGGGGCCGAGTAAACAGCCCGGGGATATTTATACCAAGGCTGGGCGTAAGGCCAGTGCCCACCACAACCCCTGCCCTGCCCTACCCGCTGCCACAGCCAGCCCTGAGCCAGCGTGGCACCCGCCAGCAAAGGGACACCGCAGACAGGCTCCACTCAGCACAAAGGCCAACCAGTGCTGGTCATACAACAGCTGAAGGCTTCACATAATAGGAACTTCCCTCCTCTGAGGACAGCAGCACACGGTGGAGGGTCCATTCCCCCCACCCTAATGCAGACACCTCCAAAACCCATCAAAGATGACCCATACAAGACCCATAACAGCTCAGACGCTGAAGTCTCCAGCTCACAGGTGGGCACGCCAATGCTGGTTCCACCTGGTCCCAGTTCCCCACCCTAGCTGAAACCAGTCTACAAAGACATGAAGCCCTCTGAGCCCCGTGAGGCATCTCACACGGACACCAAGTGTGTTGGAGACACAAACGGATACAAACTGTGAAATGTCTGTTAAGACTATGAACAAAACATACCAATCACAGAATGCAGCACTAGGGGCTGAGGGGGTGGCTAAATTGGTACAGCACTTGCCTGGGGCTCCATCCTCAATATTGCATAAAGCCTGTAATCCCAGCACTAGAGAGCAGAGGTTCTCAACCTTCCTAATGCTTTGACCCTTTAATACAGCTCCTCATGTTGTGGCGACCCCCCCCAACCGTAAAATTCTTTATGTTGCTACTTCATAACTAATTTTTCTACTGTCACAAACTGTGACATAAATTGTGTTTTCCGGTAGTCTTAGGTGACCCCTGTGAAAGGGCCATTGGACACCTCCCCCAAAAAGGTCTCGACCCACAGATTCAGAACCATTGCTCTAGAGAAACAGGGTAATTCAAGAGTTCAAGTTCAAAGCCAGCCTGGAGTACATGTGACCCTGGGGCTAAAGACGTGACTGTTAAAAGTCACTAGCATACTTGAGGCCCTGGTTCCAGTTTCACCCCAGCAGGAGAGATGTCTTAGCAGTTAAGAGGGCTTACAGCTCTTCCAGAGGACCTGAGTTTGGTTCTTAGTGCCCATGTCACTTCAGCTCTGGAGTGTCACGTCACTTGACCTCCACTGGAACCAGCACTCACATACATCATTAAAAATATTAAATAGTTAAAAACACACACACATAATCATAGCTCACAAATCACCCACCCACAAGGCACACAAACACTGGTAACTACCATACACGTGCATCAAAAACAGCCCAGGTAAGAAACAAAACACACAACACCTTTCTTTTTTCTTTCTTTTTGTTTGTTTATTTGTTTGTTTTTGTTTTTGTTTTTTTGTTTTTCGAGACAGGGTTTCTCTGTGTAGCCCTGGCTGTCCTGGAACTCACTCTGTAGACCAGGCTGGCCTCGAACTCAGAAATCCGCCTGCCTCTGCCTCCCAAGTGCTGGGATTAAAGGCATGTGCCACCACCGCCCGGCTATACAACATCTTTCAAAAAAAAAAAAAAAAAACTCCTCACAGACCCACAAACATGTATAAAATACTCCAGTTTCAGGTAGAACCAACACTAACTGCAAAAATTTACACCCAGGGACCTGTGAAGATTCTAAAGGGGGGAGGGGGAGTGGGGGGCGGGGGGGGGGGGGAGTAGACTCAAAACTCATCCCAGATATGCAACCCGCTGGTATAGCATACTCTCTTACCAGCAGGAACCCACAGAAAGAGCTCCAGCTTGCCCAGCCGAAATGTGAAGCGGCAGACACTCAGCAGAAATGTGGCATTCGCTAGCCACAAACACAGAGCTGAACACACACCCCAAACTGACAATGCCATACAAGCCAAAAGCCCTCAGGCACCAGAGAAAATGGGGGTGAGTTGAGGGGAAAAAGGGACTTCTCTGAACACCTATAAGATCACACTGGAAACAAAACACATGGGTGCTTGTGTGTATGCCTGGAGATTAGGCTTCAAGGGAAATCTTGTTCCTGTCTCTCCCACCCTACCACACCCTCGCTCACCCGGCAGGTCCAGGACGGGGCAGGAAGGCCTGTGCAGGCCTCCTTGGCTGCTTCCTGCCCTGGAAGCTGGACGGGAAGCTGGGGCTCCAGCCGGAACCCAGACTCCCTCCCACATGTTCCCCCATTCCCCAGCTGCCTAACCCTGTATCCTGTCTGTCCTGCCTGAGGTAGATGCTCGTGGGTAAGAGCGATGTGTCCTGTGCCGGGTCAGGCCACCCATTGAGCCCAGAGCAGCAGGACAGCGGGAGGGCCCCCACAGAGATGCTGAGCCTGCAAGTTACCCTCCCCCAGGCCTGCCAGCAGCCAGGCCTGCTTAGGAGCAACAGGCAGGTGGGCGGGCTATGTCACCAGTGGGCAGGACATGGGGTACAGCCAGCACTTGTCATGTCCACAGGCTCCGGGGTGAAGGCCTGGTGTAAGGGCTCGGCAATCCTGGGGGTGTGTCTGGGTGCGTGGGAGCCACTAGTCTGGGATCTTGGGTGTGACTGTGTCTGGGTCTGTGGGGCCACTTGGGACTCCCCAGGCAAGTGGGTGTGTGTGAAGAGCATCAGACAGTAGCTGTGACCTACTGGTAGTCTGGCTGGGACTGTGACGTGTATGAAACCTCAGTGTGTGTGGTATGAGTGGGTTTGCAGCGGGTCACGCAATGACCATGACCCCGTGTGGAGGATGTTTGTGTAACTGCTGGGGGGTGGGGGGGAGTAGTCTGTTTCCCAACTGGGCTCTGATGCTGTGATGTGTGTCTGACACTGTGAATCTGTCTGGCATGTAGTGCAGCCGTGGCCCTATAATATATATTTGTGTGAAGGCCTTTTCTATTGAACTTTCTACTTGTGT